ATTGTTTAGAGTGATCAGATGCATTTTAAATAATTGCTAAAAGCTTCATTGACCAAAAAATGAACTTTTCACCAAAAAACAAAATTCAGCAGCACATGTGAAAGTGTGAATGAGTACTAGTCAGGTGAAATCACTATCATATTATTTAGATTGTAAGAGCAGTCTGATTGCTATAAAAGGAGGGAAGAAGCGCTTCCAATCATTGTGTTCTTGTTAGCAATGTTTACCTCCAAAGACACACGTGCAGCCATCATGGCATTGCATCAAAATGGCCTCACATGCAAGGAAATTGCTACAAAGAATATTGCACCTTAAAGAACCATTTACCGGATCATCAAGAACTTCAACGAGAGAGGTTCGACTGCAGTGAAGAAGTCTTCAGGATGTCCCAGAGTGTCCAGCAAGCGCCAGGACCGTCTCCTCCTGAGGAGTCAGCTACGGAATCGTGTCACCAGCAGTGCAGAGCTTGCTCAGGAATGGCAGCAGGTTGGTGTGAGAGCATCTGCACGCACAGTGAGGCCAAGACGTTTGGATAACGGCCTGGTGACAAGAAGGGCAGCAAAGAAGCCACTTCTCTCCAAGAAAAACATCAAGGACAGACTGAAATTCTGCAGAAAGTACAAGGATTGGACAGCAGAAGACTGGTGCAAAGTTATTTTCTCTGATGAAGCTCCCTTCTATATATATATATATATATATATATATATATATATTCCTGTTTTCAATGAGTGAGGTCGGCTACTACCGTTTTATATCTAAACATTTTTATGAAGCTGACCTACGAGCATATACGCAAACCAAAAGGATCACACATACATGTGTGATGTGTGTACATAACTGCCATCTTTAAATTATGAAGTAAACGTAAACCTACTCTTTAAATGGGATATTTCAGAAAAGTCAGATGAGATAAAATCGAAATAAGACATAACTGCCATCTTTAAATGATAAAGTAAACGTAAACCTACTCTTTAAAAAGGATATTTCAGAAAAGCCAGATGAGATAAAAATCGAAATAAGACCAAGATAAGAACGAAAATTGACAATCAATCCATCAACACATACATGACTCAAATCTGTCCTTGCTTAAAGAAATCGGCATTTATGATGTGATATTAGTATAATGGCGATGGAAGCATGCTCAGAGTTACAATCTAGCTCTATATGATAAATATTATCTTTGATAGATTATCTCTAATTGATCAACACTGTTATAGCATTACAAGGATGATGTGTCTAAAATTCACGTCTGTCAGTTAGCAACAGCGCGGAAAAGTCCAACCTCGCCCTGTCTCCATTTAATCCTGCCTTGAATCTACAGCAGGATCCGTATTTAAACTTTAACATAGCTCCATATCAATAAACGCCATCACACAGAGACAGATGTACTAAAAAGGGTCATTTCTCAAACTACTCACTCGGTTTATTATCGCTGAAGTGGTTCGGTTCAGCCCATCTCCTGCTCGTGTCCCCGTACACAAACTTCACGAGTGTTTTTCCTGCAGGAGCGGAAGTGGCTGTATACGTCACTGCTTCAGGTTAAATGTGTCTGATTTTTTCTCTTTCGGTTCTCTCATTTTCATTCTTTCATATAGGCACTTTTAAAATAGTAATTTTTATGTTTTTGTCCTGTTCCTTACGTTGAATAATAAGCAGAGAATCAGGTACGTGGCCCACCTTATAAGTTTCAAACAGTTTCATCAGTATAAAATGACCTTACAAAAAATATAATAATAATAATAATAGGCCTAATAATAATGAATAAAATAAAATAAAAATCGTGTATTTACTAAAATAAGTGATTTGTAAAGAAAAAAATAGTAATAATAGGTTATTAGTCCCAATGGTAATCAAAAATAAATTAAACAAAATGTCTGATAATATTTATTTAGTACCATTGTTTATTTCCTTTGATGCTAACTATTAATTAATTCATAATTAATGCACTGATTCTTGAAACATGGAACAAAACAGTCTAGTAGATAAATTTTTGTTAATTTATAGTATACACATGTATAGTTACACATGCATTAAATGCAAAAGCCGTTTTGGATTGCTAGGACCTACGTAAAATTATGAGGAAAACAGTGATTACACAGATCTACAGGTGAACTTGACTCCCTGGAGACAGATATGAACAGGATAAGCATAACAAAATTTCGGTATTCAGAATGCCTGTTAGCAATTCTTTGAATTTAGAGAATTCATAGTCTTCCATGTTCATATGTGTTTCCAAACGGTATAATATGATGTACACAATATTTAATCAAAACATTTATATGCTGACACTCTGTGTCTTAGATCTAATAGCCTACCAGGAACATATTTAATTATAAACACAAAAATAGGTTGAAATAGGTCTGGGCACACAGGGAAGTGCAGCTATAGGCCATTTTGGCCACATCATCTATGAAAATTTGCATCAGACTTTATCAGTCAGTTGACAACAGGATCTTTTTTACAACAGTCAGCTGTGTGTTTTACATCCTTTTACATTTATGTTCTTGCCGAGTGCATTTTCTTTTACCGGTGTCTATGGTTGTATAAACGCTGATGAGGTGCCCTTCAGAAGTTTTTAAACTGTTTTTCTCACGAGTCTGGTTTTGGGTATGTGGCCATGGAAACAAATATTAGTAAAAGTCCAAGTTGTTTTATATGTTTTACTATTTTATATACTGATTTATATATTTTATATTTCAAATGAAATTGATAGTCTGAAATCTTGGATTTTTAAAGTGACCTTGAGATTTAGAAAGATGTATCAGTTAGTTGACAACAGCATCTATTTAACAACATAGTCAGCTGTGTGTTTTCCATCCTTTTACATTTATGTTCTTGCCAAATGCATTTTCTTTTACCAGTGTCTATGGTTGTATAAACTTTAATGAGGTGCCCTTCAGAAGTTTTGAAACTGGTTTTCTCACTGGTCTGGTTTTGGGTATGTGGCCATGGAGACAAATTTGAGTAAAATTCCAAGTTGTTTTTTATGTTTTATTATTTTTTTTACACTAATTTACATATTTTATATTTCAAGCAAAATGTATAGTCTGAAATCTTGTATTTTTAAAGTGTCCTTAGGTTTTAGAAAGATATAAATGCAAAATAGATTTGTTTATAAGACCCAATTGTATTATACTCCAGCCATGCTTAATGTGAGTAAATGATTACACTGCTAAAAAATGAAAAACACCTAATGTCTACAGGGAGTCTAGGACCACCAATGGCGAGTATGTTATTGTTATATAGCTGTATTTTTCATTTACGTCTCTTTGTGTATGATGACTTTTATGTGTATCCTGATATGAGCTCCTCATTCTCACAACTCTCACAATGTCTTAACCATAGCATGTATACAAATTACATGTTTTCAAATTCCCATTCCCAAATCCAAATGCCATAAGGAATGGGAAACATCAATGAGATTTCAGTACTATTCAAATTAAATGGAATATGTGTGCAAATATTTAATTAGCCTTTACTTTCACCAGTCTATGATCATTAGGCTATCTCAAACAACTGTGTCAACAAGTATATCCATACATTTATAAAGAAAAGAGTTGTAAAACACATCCAGCAGTGTCTTTTCCACAGTTATGCTGCTCTATAGCTTTTTTTCATCAGATGATTCAGGATATTGATGTGTCATAAGGAAATCCTTCTTAGGCTGGTTTTGACTATATAAGTGATGACTGAAAGTTTGAAGACACACTTGATCAGAGGAGAAAGATGGAAGCTCTGAACATTCTTCTCTGTCTGCTTCTAACTGCCTTTCAGCGTAAGATTACAATTTATTGTCAATGGAAAATCTTTTGAAAACTGTACAATTTATTGAAAACAACTGCTAGCTTGAACTTCCAGTGTTTCACTCAAATATATAATTTCTCAGTTCAAAGAGGTGACTGTAATCATAGACTTAAAAAAAACATTTAATACATTGCACATACAGAAAGACAAACTTTACATTACATTAAATCTCATGTCTGTTTACCATATTACAGCAAAAACCACTGTGTCATGGTCATGGACAACAGGTAAATATCCTTCAACATTTTATATTGTGTGCTTTATGCATATTTTCATATGATTTTGAAACTTACATTCACATGATATATTTATTTTGTTTTGTATAGATTACTGGCTGTATTCCACGGAAGATCCTGCATGTATCTATCTATCTGTCTCTGTCTGTCCGTCCGTCCATCCGTCTGTCTATCTGTTATATAAAATAGGGTTAAAGTGTCATAATTTATACACATATAAACCAGGTCATCATGAGGAACATTTGGTCAGAGCATTGCACCAGAGTATACTAACAGCATATAGTTATTATGTCATTACATGCCTGTAAGAACATCATACTGACAACACAGAAAATTATCTTATTTATGGAACACAGTTGCTTTGCTAAAACTTTTTCACTCAGATGATGTATACTTTCTCAGTTCATAAAGCTGACATGAATAATAACGGCTAACATCTCTTTCTCTGTTCTCTAGATGCCTATTCATGCAGGTATAACTGTGGATACCACTTTGGCACTTGTTCATGTACACACTCCTGTCAGTACTATGGAAACTGTTGCTATGACTTCGACAGTAAGTTTCTCTAGAATCGACACTTCAAGATTAAATGCTACACTCAAATAATTTCCCATATGCTCAAAATGTAATTTCCCAAAATTGAAATTGATTTCTCTTCCCTTTATACAGGCTACTGCTCAATGACAACCGACTGGCCAGATACAACAGGTGCACCTACATCTTTCTTATCTGTCTGTCAGATTCAGACTTTTTTCTAGTTCCCTGGGAAGGAGGATGATATCTTTGTTTCTCTCTCTGCTAGCTTCCTCCTGCATGTATAACTGTGGATACAACCTCGGCAGCTGCTCATGCAACTACAACTGTCATTACTATGGCAACTGTTGCCCTGACTACGACAGTGAGTTGATCAGACACTTCAAGATATAGATAGATGCAAATATCTATTGTACTGCATCATCCTCTGTGATTCCAGAAATTTTAATGCAGTTTTATTTCTTCCCTTTACACAGTCTACTGCTCTACAACAACTGACTTGACAACTACAACAGGTTCACTTTCATCTATCTGTCTGTCAGATTCAAAACATTTCCTGGTTTCCTGGGTGTTTTTGTAGTCATATTAATGCCTTCATGGATAATATGTGTTTTTCTCTCTTCTAGATTTGCCCTCCTGCAGGTATAACTGTGGATACAACTTCGGCAGCTGCTCATGTGACTACGACTGTCGTTATTATGGCAACTGTTGCCCTGACTATGACAGTGAGTGCCTATTGATCAGACACTTTAAAATTAAATGCTGTAAACACAATTACAAATCTTTCCTGTAGAGCATATGAATCATTGCATTTCCTGGGATGAAATGAATTTTGCTGAATCAAAAACTTGGCTTTACTTTTATCTCCTCTCTTTACACAGGCCACTGCTTAACGCCAACAACAACTTTCGAGATAGATACAACAGGAAAAGGTGCTGCTGCTGCCATTCATTTCATTTAAGTGACACTTATGACATTAAAAAACATATACAAAGCCAGAAATTATTCCAGCTTTGCTTTTCTAACAAAATGTACACACTAACAGGTAAAGTGACTCAATGATGTGTACATCATCACACACATACTGATGATTTCTCTCTGCACTAGCTCCCTCCTGCATGTATAACTGTGGATACTACGCTAGCAGCTGCTCATGCACTTACAACTGTCATTATTATGGGGACTGTTGCCCTGACTACGACAGTAAGTTCCTCTTGATCAGACAGATGCTTTAAGATGAAATAGTGTAAACACAAATACAGATCTTTCATGTGGTCATCGAATTTCAGATGAAAGTAGTAATGAAATGCATTTTGATGAATCATAGCAGAATTGTGGCATTACTTTTCATCCCTTCTCTTTACACAGACTACTGCTCATCGACAAGTGAAACTCCAGTGACCTGGGATGAAACAACAGAAACAACAGGTGCTGCTGCTTTTCATTTGAGTGACACTGATGAGATTAATGACATGAAATTGATAAGTTAAATGTACAAGAATTTCTTTAAAGGCAGTAATGAGTCCAGAGTGGCTTTTCTAGCAAAATATACACACCGATATTTACATTACGATATATTATAACACAATAACATATATATCACAAACCTATTGATGACATTATGAACATAAAATCTGTTTCTCTCTCTACTATAGCAGGCCCCTCCTGCATGTATTACTGTGGATACCATTTCGGCAGCTGCTCATGCAACTACGACTGTCAGTTCTATGGCAACTGTTGCTATGACTTTCACTGTAAGTTTCTCAAAAACAGGTGAAACAGCCCTTAACCAGTCTAACATAAACTGTACTAGATTATGTACAGTATAATGTGTGATGCATAAATGTACAAATTATGTTTTGAAGAACGTGCACGCTGCCATTTTCCATACAGTGAAAGCGTACTGCGACCAAGGGCTTCATTTGTTTGTAAATTATTATTTATTAAAAGACTTAAACATGATCCTTCTGGTTCATACTCATCCAGTTTTATGTCCTTCTCTTTATTCAGGGTATTGCCCATCATACACAACAACAGGTACTGCTGTCACTAGGTTTTTTGTAATGCCTGAGGCTGAATTCACACAACATTTGTATCTCATTCTGATGACACTTGTTTGTAAGTGTAAGATTTAACACATATCTTTCTTTAGATACACACCCTGAGTGTGGAGGACACCTGTATGGTTCTGGGCTGTTTTCCAGTCCAAACTACCCCAGCTATTACCATGACAATGCCTACTGTGTGTGGCATCTCTCTGCTCAGCAAGGACAGAGGATCTTCCTGACATTTGCTGATGTGCAGTAAGTGAGAGATCAGTGGTGACTGGTGCAATGCTGGTGGAATAATATTTGCTATTTGCTAAGTTGATGAAAACATCACATTTATATACACTATAATTTATCATTTAATCTAATACCATAGTTTATTTAATATATAATTTAATGTAATTAATGCAATTATTACTAAAAAGAGTTTTTTGTGTTTGTACGAGTAGTATGATTATTGCGGAATTTTTTTTACAGTTTATTTATGCAGAACCATTAAAAACCAATTCCAAATGGCTCACTGAATTCTAGAGTGGCTTAAAAAGTTCATCTTTTCTGAATCAGGTACCATTCTGCCTGTTTCTTTCAGATTGGAGCGCTGCTGTAACTGTGACTACATCACAGTATACGACGGCTCTTCCACTGGTCATCCACAGCTGGGAAAGGTCTGCTTCAATGACACCACACCCCAGGTGTTTCACTCTTCTTCACGATACTTGACTGTTGTCTTCAGGAGCGACTACTCTGGTGTCAGCCATGGTTTCAAGGCCCTTTTCACAAGCTCTCTCACTGAAGATCAAGGTAACGCCCTTTAAAAAAAAATTATATGTTCTATGAAGCATAGCTGTCACATGTATTCCATCCTTCCTTTGACCATATTGGAGTTTTCTCTTCACAAAATTAAATGCAGTCCGTAACTTTTTTTGGCTAAAAATGATCTGAAATCAATCTTTGTGCAAGTACATAACCAGCCAGTGTTCAAAACTGTCTCCTTACCTTAGCCCGATTCACAATGGTAAGCTTGTAATGTTTTCTAATTTGAGTGGCACTGGTAGCCAGTGGTAGGTTTTTGCGGCAAATACAAGCATGCCGCCATTCGTCTTTGCGCCATTACGTCACGTCTGTAAATATAAAGAATGAGCGCCGGCAGTAGGCTATATTGCATGTGAGGATGCTGCAGGTGGCGGATCATTTATAGCCTTTTCTCACAGCAGCTGGAATAATTAAATTTATCATTTTGATGGCAGATTGTAATCCAGAAAGGATTGTGTGTTAATGAAACACTTGTAAGTGACTCAAATTTTATAATTTTACATTTTTAAATGTGCATCCCAGATATGTGGGATTACACAAGATTTGTATTTCAAAGAGAACCAGTTCTAAGGAACATTAATTTGCTTTTTGGGTTAAAAGAACGATTTATTGTAATGCTTTTTTCCCACAGTTGGTCAGAACAAAAGTGGCAGACATGTTACTTACTTGTTCAGCTGAAAATATACTGTGAAACTTCTTATTTGGGTCATGCTTCCAAAACATAGAATCTGTGATTCCTAAGTACTGTATCCACACCGGTGTGGTGACTGACAGCCGCACATCAAAACATTAGATTAATCTGCACTGAGGAGCTGTGCCAATGCACAACCCAAGTAAAGAAGATAATTCCACAAATAACTACAATTGCAGGTTTCAAACTGAGATAGTGACATAGAGGCAAAACTTACGGACAGCAGCTTTAAATTCATACTTTAAATGCTTTACAAAATTACACTGAGGAGATGAAATTCTCTGCTCTGCAGGTCGTGTGGATTGTTCCACAGACAACATGGTCATTGTCATTCAAAGGTCTTACCTGAACTCACTCGGGTTGAGTGCAAATGACCTTTATGTAGATGACCATCTTTGCAGACCCTCCATTAGCAGTACTGAGGTTGTGTTCAGATTCCCACTTGACGCATGTGGGACCGCCAAAGAGGTATGACCTACACATGTGCCAGATCCAGTATGGTTTCAGTGCTGATATAAGGGGTGGTATCTCGGTTTTCTTTTGCCAAAACTGAAAATTATCATGTTTACCACACAACATCACCCACCCTCTCTCTCTCTTTCCCTTTAGATGATGAATGGTTATGTGTCATACACCAACAATGTGAGGGCCTCTCAGTCTCAGTCAGGTGAAATCACTCGTCAGTCACAGTTCCTGCTACACGTGGGCTGCCGAATGGAGCCGGACACCATGGTGCAGATATTCTACAAGGCCAGGGAGAACATCAATGCCAACATCACAGGAATGGGCCGCTTCAATGCCAGCATAGCCTTCTACACCTCCAGCAGTTTCTACTATCAAATTTACGACTCTCCATATGAGGTGAACCTGAATCAGTTTCTGTACGTTCAGGTCGAGCTAAACAGGCATGACAACAGTCTGGATCTCTTCCTGGACACATGTGTAGCGTCTCCAAATCCCAATGACTTCAAAGATCGCTCCTATGACCTGCTCCGTAACGGGTGAGACCTTTTCATTCTTAAATGTGACTCCCTCCATCATCATATCATATGTAACAGTGGAATCAGTTGGGATCTAGGACAGTATTTTAGTCAGAATTCTGTTGTTCCTAGTCTTAATATGTTCTTCTACTCATTTGCAAAAATGGCAGAGTTTGACAGTATATCAAACTGTATCCAAATTGTATTTCTCTTCTTTCGTCTTTTGTAGATGTCACAGAGACAACACATATTATTCCTACACCAGCGGTCATCACTACTACGCTCGGTTCAGATTCCAGGCTTTCAAGTTCCTCCGGACTCATGCCTATGTGTACCTGCAGTGTAAGGTGATCATCTGCCCCAATAACGATTACAACTCTCGCTGCCGGCAAGGCTGCCGCTTCCGTCGCAAGAGATCCCTTGACAGCACCTACCACACCAATACTGTGACGCTGGGGCCAATCAAACTCAAAGGTCAGAGGCCATTAACGGGTATCATTTCTAATGAATTTACCTGGCAGTGTTTGATGTGTTAATACTGAGATTTTCCTAATGTCTGTCCATTCATTTCTGTATCTGTCAAGGACAAAGGCATGGTGTGAAGGATTCAGAGAAGTCAAAGGAATGAACTGGAATGGAAGGAATTAATAAATCATCTACTTGATCATCAGCTTTATCATTACTATTAATCAATCTTTATTAACCACCCAGCAAATGAACTGAAACACAAATTGTATTTCTGCAATTCAATAAAGCATTTCTAAACAGCAGTTCTCATGTCTGCAGATGTTTATATTCTCTTGCATTCCATTCATTGTGTTTATGTTGCCTGAAATGAAGAAAGATAATGCAGGGTACGAAAGACAATGACAAACATGGCATTTCTTGCTCAAAACTTGTTTTGTTCAAACCCTGTTACAGTTAAATGTTTTAGCAGGTTTGGATGTTATTAATTTCTATATTAAAATTAATTTTGATATTTTTGGTTTAGTAACCAATTCTCACTATATTATTCTAACTTGTTGCTTGTTAGCATGCATATTACTAGCATACTGCCCTTTTATTAATACTTATAAAGAACATATTAATGCCTTATTCTGGATGACAATATTTCAGATCCCTTAATCCTATCCAATACCTAAACTTAGTTTACCTAAACTTAGTTAATAGTTAGTTAATAGTGAGAATTGGTCCCCAAACTAAAGTGTGACCAAAATAAAGTAAAAAAAAAAAAAGGGTGAAACAACTGTCCTGATATAAGAACAAAATTCTTAAAAATAAAATCAATATAAAAGATAACCAATATCAAAGGTTCATAACCATAGGACACCTACAGTACATGAATACAGAGAGTGCATTTCTACGAACTTAAGGGATTTCCATTTATTTATCATGGACACCAGTGCCAAGGCCAGATCCTCTAGGACCTCTATTCTGTGCCTCCATCCAATGGTGTTATCATAATAAGCCTATATCAATGTGGGTTTTTGAATTAACAATAAGAATTAGGGTTACAACATCAAACTTAAAGATGCATTTATACTAACTAGAGTTATTATACTTTTAAACTCTCTGGGGCGCTGCTCTGTGGCGACCTGCAGTATGTTTCACGTGCGGCGTTTATTGTGTTTGTTGTATGTTGGTTTTTTAAAATATATTTTTAAATAGTCTGTAGAAGTGGAGAGGGCCTACGCTTCGCAACTATGGAGTTATATCAGTGGATTACCGGACTTATTGTTTGGATTTTAAAGGTTCCATGTTGTCAAAACTGAAATTTCCTGGCTTTTTTCATGATAACTGAGGTCTAGGTGCTATGTAACTACCATATAAGTTTCAAAACAGTCAAATGCACACAGCCTGCATAAAGTAGCTGTGATTTTTTACGAACCGTTGTGACTTCCGTAAAAAGGTGTCAGAACTACTGTCACCGCCTTCAGTCACCACCCCGAGCACTGCGCACAGTCCCACTCTCCTTTTGCCAAACCCCCAGACAACATCGCGTCCATGCCATTGCTGAGCAACAACAACACGGAAACATGTCGA